ATTTCACTCGGTAACATTAGGCAGTTTTCATTTATATGCGGTTTATTGTTGATGATCGCATTGTTTTTCATGTGCACATTCTAGACTCATTCAGGAAATGCGTAATAGTGCCCCCAAACGTATAACAGCGAGAACGTGGAAACCCGGAAAATTCTGTGTTTGGCGGGGAAAGAGTTAATAGTTAGGCATATGGAAATGGTTAAGGGTGTCTTTGTTTTACAGTAACATTATTTTAGGACCAATGAAAATGGGACACAGGAACACATCCTACTTTGCTAAATCTGTGGTTTTCAGTCCTGGTCCTGAGGACACACTGCTCTGCACGTTTTGTATGTCTCTTTTATCTGACACATTAAGTTCAGTTTATGGAGCTCTCTCCTAACCAGCTGATGATCTGAATTAGGTGTTTTACATAAGTGGGTCCGCAGAACCAGGACTGACATCCACTGGATCCCCACGCCACTGTGCAGTAGTTAGTGCGGGTGGAGAGAGGTTAGCACAAACATAACCTTTACTGGTTAACTGCCTCCTACAAACAATATAATGATATTCCACATACTGTGCCTACACTGCACTTGTGGTTCTGGAAGGTCATGATCGTGATGTGTGTTTGAAACTATTTCAGTAGTGCCATGCTCTAAAAATAACATCATGTGGTTCTCTAGAGTAATTCCTTACCCCGACAAGACCACACTGAGCTCAACAAAGATACTGAAGATGGTGAAGTGTGTCTTGCTTTGGAAAGGACTCGAGCTCCTTCCCTTGCTGAACTGGACAGCAATAGTTCCTTCAGCAGTCTGGAGGAGGAGGAAGCCCAGGCGGACCTCGCCAATTACCAATGGCCGCCTGCCGCACGTGGTACCCGTTTCCCCTCAGCGAACCCAACCTCGACTCTGCGCCGCATGACCGCTGCCTTTGTATGCGTGTTTGCACCGGAGCGCCGAGTTGCCCGATTGGTGGACGAACTCTCCCATGACAAGCGCTCCACATTTGGGTCACTGGTGCAGGACTTTTTAGAGAAGCTAAGGCAGGAGATAGAGGCCTCAAAGCATAATTCTGCTGTGGAGCTGCTTCAGGGGGTGAGGAGATTTCTGTCCCAAGCCAAAAGCCTCCTTCTGGAAGCAGGAGAAATAGAACCTCCAATTGAGATGCTGGTGCCTGAGAACGAGAAAGGTAAGGAGACATCATTTGAGGTTTAATCAATGACACAATATTGATACAGTAGTTCCTGTAGCTCAAAAAGTAGAGCAGATGCTCACAATCCCAAAATGATGGGTTAAATTTCCAAGGAACACATGCATGAGCTTATAAAATGTGTATCTTGCATGCAATGTAAGTCAGACCTCCAGACTTTTGGTTACCAGCCCAGTAAACACTATGCCACACCACTCCAATTTTAACCATTAATATAGAAGAAAATATTGAAAATGGATTAAAGAAAATATGAATTGGTTGGCAAGACGTTGCTAGAAGGTTGCTAGGATTTTCTAGGTCAAGGGTGTCAAACTCAATTCCTGGAGGGCCGGAGCCTAAATTAAACACACCTGATCCAACTAATCAAGTCCTTCAGGCTTATTTGAAAACTACATGTTATGTGTGTTGGAGCAGGGTTGGAACAAAACTCTGCAGGGCTCCGGCCCTCCAGGAATTGAGTTTGACAGCCCTGTTCTAGGTGGTTTGGAGATGGTTGTCTTAAGTCTCTATAAGCACTTTTCCACTGCGTGGTACGACTCGGCTCGCTTTACTTTGGCTCGTTTGCTTTTCCAATGCAGTTTAGTACCGCTTCTAATTGGGTGGGATTATAGACTGATCATTATAGTTGCGCCGGCACCTCGTCTGCTGACCACGATACAGCCATTTCTTTTTTCAAGTTGCATGCGACGGTCGTTTAAAGCAAGTCATTTAAAAAAGTCGTGCGAACAAATGATACTGCGGTGGCTGTTGCTGACTATTTAAATCTAGTGAGTTTGGTGTCTCGTGTCGCAAATCCAATGACGCTGGTAGTGTCGATTCTCTCTGACCAATCAGTGATCTGCAGTGTTCACACGTCACATTTTAGTATCGTTACAGCTTGCTTGGAACCTCAACCGAGGTGGTATTAAAAGTACCAGGTACTAGGTACTGTACACAGTGGAAAACTCCCCAAAAGTGAGCCGTACCATGCAGTGGAAAAGCACCATATGATAGTCTAGTCTTTCTTTTCCCACTTGTAATGTCTTTTTGAGTGATTATTTGCCAATTTTAATGTCCGCCAGGTGGAAATTGAAGGTCTGATTGTTTATGAAAGTAAACAATCAACAAGAAGCATGATGTATCATTCGTGTTTGAAAATGATGCAGTCAAGTTGCACCAAGTTTAGTACACTAGAATGCACTAGGAGTTTGTTAAGGTCATTAACATTAAGTATGAGCAATATGAATTGTGATGCTTGACTTAGCAAACACCACTAAGGCTTTCACAGGAAGTAAATGACTCAACGCTATGAACTGCATCATGGAAACCAGTCAGTGGGTTTTAAAAACTCTAAAACCGCTGGAGTGGAGAAAAGATGTGATTGGTTTCCTAGAGTCCTTTGAAATAATGAATTTCTGGAAAATAGCATTAATGTTTGAATTGCAGTGTTACATGTAGTTTTTATTAGCACAGCTCTAACGCCGTTTTGGTGTGAGATGATGACTCCAATTCTATGATGCACTTCTAAAATATTTCCAAATATTTTCCTTGTTTCTGCAGGAAGATTGTTAATGTTCATGCAGCATGCTAAATTCTGGCAGCACATCAGTGCGTAAGACACAAGTTGAAGTTACTGTAGCTCTATTTTTATGCTGCAGAACAATTATGTCAGTCAAATAAGAACATCCAATCTTTTATAACCCTGCATAACTGGGATTATGAGCTGATTATGAGATCTCCCCCAAATCAAAGCAAGAAATCTAAAAGCCGGCCACGTCCCCGGGGATGGATGCTGTTTCAGATGTTGGTGGAGGCATTCGCATTTTCCACTTTGCATTTATCATTAGCACATAGCACATTCCCACGCATACTTCAGGAAATGCGTGGAGAGAGAGATAGAAGGAGGGAAGGGGAGGAGAGTTTGCTCAGTGCACAGATTTTCTTGTTTGCTGTAATGTGTCTGTTTCTTTCTACTGCTGTACAAACATTAATTTGCTATTGAACAGAGCTTATTTATTTTTGCCAAGCTGCTCAGTGGCTGTGTGCCTTGTTCACTACCAAGGACATAACCGTGTTTAAATAGAGCTACAGGAAAGACGTGCACGTTCCAAATAGCTGTAGGCAAACATGAGTAGGCCAGTATGCAATCTGTGCCATATCTTCTCATTTGCTGCATCGCATAGGAAAAACCTGTGTAAAATGTAAGCATTCATTTTGGTCCGTGCTTGAAGTGGAAAAAAATAAGTACTAGAAAAAGGTACTCCCAACCCCCCCAAAAAAAATGTAATTAATTTAATTACTTTTCATAATTCCCAATGTACGTATATAATGCCGAAAGAAAGAAAGAAAGAAAGAAAGAAAATTGTCTAGAGCATTTTTAAAGGGGCCATATGATGCAATTTCAATTTTTTCCTTTCTCTTTGGTTACAAGCTCTTGGTGCATAAAGAAGGTCTGTAAAGTTGCAAAGACTAAAGTCTCAAATCCGTAGAGTAGCACTTGTTGTTTGTCATTTCTCCGATCACAAATGCAGACATAGTTTTATGTTTACGCAGCGCAATGCAACACAACATGTAAAAAGTCATTATAATCCGTAATTATGTCCCCACTGGATGCAACAAATGCCTCGTTTATGCGTCGCTCCGGCCGGGACAAGGCATCACAATATGGTAGAGGCGTAACATTTCCGTCACATGCTTGAGGTATTCGGCCAATCACAACGCACTGGATAGCTGGCCAATCAGAGCACACCTCGCTTTTCAGACCGATGAGCTTTGTAAAAATCGACGCGTTTCAGAAAGGCAGGGCATAGAGGAGAAACAATAATGTACAGTATGTGGAAAATAATGTGTTTTTGAACCTTAAACCGCATAAACACATTTCATTACACCAAATACACAAAATAATGTTCTTTTTAGCAGCATCATATGACCCCTTTAATATAAATAAGCACCAGTTAAGCTGCGATACCAAACAGGACCACAGGGAGGTGCCAAAAGACCACTAAACCTGCTGCCTTAACCTGACAGTACATGCTACTATACGGATCCATTCAGAATAACTAAACCACTGTCCAGCGTATAATCTAAAACACCTTCAGCCGGCATTCATTATAAAACACTTGTGCTTTTAAGCCAAATACACGCTGAAAATAATAATTTACTGCCATCTGGACGCGAGTCACTATTCTCTCTGCCATTTCTGATTAAATCGTCCATGTTTTCTTTGCATTAGCACTGTTTTGAACTTTGAACTGGAATCTTGAACTTTCCAGAAATGTACCGGTTTCAAATGACCTCTGGGTAGTGTGCTTTATAGTGTCATTTCTAATCACCCAGACACTGATGCTTTGACTATAGTATAGTATAGTGACAATATTTATGTGTGAAACATTTCAAATCACTAACCTTGTCTATAAAAAGTTACATCCAATATTTCAATCCCTGACAAGGCCATTCAAAGCCAGCAAACACTGCAAATGGCACACAAGGGCACCAGAAAGAGACTGTTACATTCAGAAATATCCTCCCACAGGAGGATGACTTCACATAGATGATTTAGAAACCTTACAGCTTTAAATAACACGCAATGTGCTTTGCCAACAGTACGAGATGCTTATTGCTCATTTTAATTCACATTTCCTGTCATGTGACCCACAGACCTTGCCCTGGAAAAGGCTCTGTTCGGCTGCGTGTTGAAGCCGTTGAAGATTCAGCTGCAGCAGACGCTCATTTCCCTCCACACTCAGGACGGCTCCCTACAGAAGATCACCGACAGCTTGCTGGCCTACCAGGAGGGGGCGCTGGAGCGCCTGGCTGTACGAGTGGGCGTCCTGGACGTCCGTGGCATGGACAGAGCGAAGGCGAAGCTCATGCTAATGCAGCGCAGCCATTCGCCCATTGACAAGGTGTTGCTTCTGCTGCAGGTGTGCAAGAGTGTGTACAAAGCCATGGGGACGCAACCTGGTGAGGAAAGATTTAGAGACTGGGTTGTCATTAGGTATAGAGCAACTTTTAGTTTTTAAGACTCATTTCCTCTCTGCAGATCAGGACGTGGGGTCTGAGGACTTCCTACCAGCGCTGTCCTATGTGCTAGTTCAATGTAACATCCCACAACTGCTGCTGGAGACGGAGTACATGATGGAGCTGCTTGAGCCATCATGGCTGACAGGAGAGGGTAAAAACAAACACATACTGACTCCGTTTAAAACCAGTTTGGAGCTTGTTAGACTCGCTTCTAATGGATCCAATCAGTAGACGACACTTTTATGCTACCGTGTAAGATAACTTTTTAGATAACAGGAATTGGATGAGTCCTTCACAGATATGAGAATCCTAGACTGGGAGGAACAGAATCAAGGGTTATTCAAAGGCAATTATAAATATACAAATTTACATTAATTACGGGGAAATGTCAATCAAAATGGTTTCATTTAAAAACAATTCACCAGCTCTAAAGATGATGAAACTCCAGATTCTTAACAATAAAATGCAAACCTTTCGAGACAGACCTACCATACGCTCTGAGCTGCAAGTGGGTGTGATTTCCACATCATTTATCTTCATCAACTTCAATAGCCATATTCCCAGTGAAGAGCTACACTACCTGAACAGAGCAACAGCAATCAGAAGTTGCTGTTACCATGGAAACCCAGCAGCGAACACACACTTCCACGAAGTCTTATGAATTATGTAATCGAGTTGATCTACACTTTAAAACTACTTAAATGCATTATTTTTGAATTTAGATGTTCTGAAAATGAGTTTAAAAGTTTGAATTGTTGATGACTCCAAACTGGTTTTCATGGCTGTTTGTTTGTAGGTGGATACTATTTGACGAGTGTGTATGCCAGCCTATGTCTGATCCAGAGCAAGCCTGGGGCCACGCCCAGCTGCAGTCTGACCAATGAGGCTCAAGAGTACTTGCGTGAGTGGAGTAGGAGGCGGGGCCAAGAAGCCAAGATCCAGAAAGACAGTCAGCTGAAACAGGTTGAAACCATAGACTGCATATATTTTTTTTCATTACGCTATATATATATATATATATATATATATATACACACATACAGTTAAACTAAAAATTATTCAGACACATTATTCTTTTTTTTTTTTACTTGTGGATGCAGGACACTATCGTTCATTTATGTAAGTGAGGATAGCAAAATAAAGTAAACTGTGACATATTATACCC